GTTCTTGGTTATCAGGGTTGGATCAAATCTCTGCAGGAAAGTGGCCTGGAAGGGCCAAGTTTGCCCATCACTGAGTTAGATAATTGACATAATCAGTGACATTTGTGTGTAGACTTTCTTTAGTAATCAAATGTTATTGTTTGTTTATTGTGTTGTATAGTACAGTGTCAGTTAAAGGTTCCACTAATTGTTTTATACATTTAGAAATATCAGAATTGCTGCCATTTAGGTGAACTCTCTCGCCAAGTCTAGACAGTGTTTTTGCTCCTGTTGTAGCTGGCAGAGACAGGCTACTGCTGTAGCTGTGTGTGTGTGTGTGTGTGTGTGTGTGTGTGTACTATAGGGCTTTGCTACTGAAGTAACTGCCTGGTTTTGATTAACTAATCTAAGAAAGGGGGTTTTGACTCTAAAGTAATGTTTTGCTCTGCCAGTAGCATAGTGTTTAGGGGTTTAACCTTCTCTGACACCCTGAATATAAACTCTTCTTTCTTACACTATCATTGTATTATCAATTTCATCATGATGTAAACAGGAAGGCTTATCTTCCATGAGTTGGTTATAGGGCTGTTGCGATAACCACAATATCGCAATACCGCGCTATTGACGAGCAAACCGTGATTTTTGCGTGTTTTATTTTTTCGTAAGGTTATGCCCTTCTCGTTTTACACTTCATGCATGTGGACTGAATATTAAACAAGCTAGTAATGATAACATAATGTGTACCATGCTGATTTGTACAGATGCTCCATAGATTTGCACTTAACAAGCCTAAACAGACAGTGAATGAGAGAGAGATCGACTGAGCATGTGCGATTACTTGCATCTGTCCTCCAGGCCGAGTCATATATATTTGTGAAAATAGGTTGTCATGTCCAAGGAAAGCGAAATCTCTGTCTTAGCATCGACGCATAGCTGTTCAGCTGAGCCTTCTAAAGTGGCGCTCAAAGTTAAAGGGGTCATATGATGCGATTTCAATTTTTTCCTTTCTCTTGGAAGTGTTACAAGCTCTTGGTGCATAAAGAAGATCTGTAAAGTTCCAAAGACTAAAGTCTCAAATCCAAAAAGATATTCTACGAATCGTTCTATTTAACCGGATCTTCTTAGTGAACCGGTCGAACCAGTTCACCAAATCGAACTGAATCGTTTGAAGCGGTTCGCGTCTCACAAATTACTTATATTCGGTTTATAAACGTGCCTGACACTCCCTCTGACACTGTTAATAAGGCTTCATACTAGTAAACAATGCTATATTGCCCAATTGAACTCATTTCATAATTGATTAGCTTTGCATATTGGACAAAATCAACACTGAAACCTACAGCTAAGCTTCCACAACACTGTGTTAAGGCGTTTTATTTCCACTTTTCAAATATTTACTTAATTTTTATTGAAAATAAATTTCTTTCTGTTCTGGTATGTGATGGGAAAAGGAGAAGCACGAGTTTGACAAAAGCTCAATATTATTATTATTTAATATATTTGAAAGAATCTGTACTGTATAAAGCGCTATAAAGATAAAGGTGACGTCATTTGATGACCGGAAACGTGCTGTAGAGATTAAAGTACAATTTATGTCCAACTAACAACACTGTTTTTAGATACACAGCGATAGTTTGTAGTTTATATGTATATACGTACAAATACAAACAAACATTTTATATATATATATGGTGATAATACCGCATACCGTGCTATTGAGCCACTCAAAATTACCGCAAGGGAAATTCCCTCACTGCAACAGCCCTAGTTGGTTAAATGAATAACTATTGTGCAATTGTTTGCATCTACAAAATGCAGCAATACAATTTGAACACTGATACAATAAGTCACAAATATTCAATAACTCTGTTCCAAAATCTAGTATACTGCATTTTAAGACACACACCAGACACCAATATACCTTTCAAAAGTAACTCTAAAATAGCTGGATGACAGCAAGGTAGCTCACTATGTTCTGGAACAAAACCTATTTAAGTGAAAAGAGACAGTTATAGAATGGGGTACTACAGGGCTCTGTATTAAGGATAAACTGTTTTCCGATCATGTTGTTATGTGTACTTGCCAGGGTATGGAAGAGCAGGTGACTACCTGTCAGACTCTGGCCACAGTGAGATCTCCTCACGCTCCAGTCTGGTGAGCACCTCCTCCCTGGACATGGGGCAAGATGAACGCAGACATCGATATGGAGGAATGGCTGGGGAAAGCCAGGGCAGTGGCCACCGTCTAGAACGCAGGGCTACTGCTGATCCTGACCAGTACAGCTTGGGGTAAGCATTACTCTTTTAATTAGTTGGAATGTTGCCTGAATAACTAGTCAATTAATCAGTCTAAAGGAACCTAATTAGGCTGATTTTGCACTAGTCTGACCCTATTCAGACGTTTCTCAGGCACTATTTACATAAGACATGTTCTTGTGTTTAAAAGCAGATAGTCGGAGCACATTAGAATGAATTCAGGGTTCTTGAGAAGTATGAAACTATTTATTTTGAATGATGCGTAGTGTTAAAAGTACACCACTTGTAGTGGGGTAGTCAAAAATAAAGCGTGTTTTATTATGCAAACTGGAAATACCAGAACAAGTCAGAGCAATTCTATATTAAGTTGTCAAACTCACTAATGGACAAGTCTTTTATTGGACAACTGGTTGACCATCATGGCCTAGTCCTGGCAATGTAGGGTTTCAATTAAATCCTTCTGGATCCTTCTACCCTTTCTTTGTTCAGGTCTTACTCATCAATGCAGGACTGCCGGGGTCTGTATGCGGGTGCCACTGTGCTGTCTTCCCCCAGCTCAGAGGAGCTTACCCAGGACCAGGGCGACCGGGTGTCTCTCGATGCTGCTGATTCTGGTCGTGGCAGCTGGACTTCATGTTCCAGCGGCTCCCATGACAACATTCAGACCATGCAGCAGGGTCGTAGCTGGGAAGCACTTGCAGAGGGTGCGGGGCTTTGGGGAAGCAGAGGAAGCTGGGCATCTGCCTGCTCCTCTTCATCCTCTGCAGCATGTTGGGGCGAGGACTCTGAGGGTGACACGGGCACCATCAAGCGAAGAGGAGGGAGGGATGTGACCACAGACCCAGAGACCAGCAGCATCACCTCCACTGGTTCAGAAGAGTCCAGACAGCACAGTCGACGCCCCTCACCCATCACTGCAGGCAACACCAAAGCTGTGATCAGTAAGAGTCGCCACATGAACCAGGTTTAAAGGGATAGTTCACCCAAAAATGACAATTCTGTTGATATTTACTATTTACCTTCATGTTGATCCAAAGCCTTATGCTCTTATTTTAATATAACACAAAAATGAGAAGCATCACACTTTTTTTCCAGTAACATTTAATAGTAAACATAGTTACTTATCATAAAATTAGTCCAAATAGCCTGTGGGCTAAGCTTTATGAAGCCATGAAATAACTTTCTTTGAGGAACATTTCAAAAAGCCGTTATTCACAGAAAATTTTGCCCAAATTACGTATATGATGCCTTTGGCTATTCATGCGAGTTTGTACTGCACACTTTGATGTCAAACTTGATGCCTGGTGTTTTATTTTACTTGAAAGATGTGGTGGGGGAAAGATTTTCATTTTTGGGTAACTATTTAAAGAGTAACTACAGCAAGTTATGTGTCCTAACCTATTTGTTGAGTGTTTAAATTTTTCAAGTGCTGAAGTCATGATTTTTGCATGGAAAAACACATTCCCAATGATTAAACTAACATCTGAAAATGAAACCCTGCTCCAGGTTGAGAAATACAGGTGCGTCTCAATAAATTAGAATGTCGTGGAAAAGTTCATTTATTTCAGTAATTCAACTCAAATTGTGAAACTCGTGTATTAAATAAATTCAATGCACAGACTGAAGTAGTTTAAGTGTTGGTTCTTTTAATTGTGATGATTTTGGCTCACATTTAACAAAAACCCACCAATTCACTATCTCAACAAATTAGAATACTTCATAAGACCAATAAAAAAACATTTTTAGTGAATTGTTGGCCTTCTGGAAAGTATGTTCATTTACTGTACATGTACTCAATACTTGGTAGGGGCTCCTTTTGCTTTAATTACTGCCTCAATTCGGCGTGGCATGGAGGTGATCAGTTTGTGGCACTGCTGAGGTGGTATGGAAGCCCAGGTTTCTTTGACAGTGGCCTTCAGCTCATCTGCATTTTTTGGTCTCGTGTTTCTCAGTTTCCTCTTGACAATACCCCATAGATTCTCTATGGGGTTCAGGTCTGGTGAGTTTGCTGGCCAGTCAAGCACACCAACACCATGGTCATTTAACCAACTTTTGGTGCTTTTGGCAGTGTGGGCAGGTGCCAAATCCTGCTGGAAAATGAAATCAGCATCTTCAAAAAGCTGGTCAGCAGAAGGAAGCATGAAGTGCTCCAAAATTTCTTGGTAAACGGGTGCAGTGACGTTGGTTTTCAAAAAACAAAATGGACCAACACCAGCAGATGACACTGCACCCCAAATCATCACAGACTGTGGAAAAACTGAACACTGGACTTCAAGCAACTTGGGCTATGAGCTTCTCCACCCTAGTTTCCAACTGAAATACAAAACTTGCTCTCATCTGAAAAGAGGACTTTGGACCACTGGGCAACAGTCCAGTTCTTCTTCTCCTTAGCCCAGGTAAGACGCCTAAAATCTAGTATACTGCATTTTAAGACACACACCAGACACCAATATACCTTTCAAAAGTAACTCTAAAATAGCTGGATGACAGCAAGGTAGCTCACTATGTTCTGGAACAAAACCTATTTAAGTGAAAAGAGACAGTTATAGAATGGGGTACTACAGGGCTCTGTATTAAGGATAAACTGTTTTCCGATCATGTTGTTATGTGTACTTGCCAGGGTATGGAAGAGCAGGTGACTACCTGTCAGACTCTGGCCACAGTGAGATCTCCTCACGCTCCAGTCTGGTGAGCACCTCCTCCCTGGACATGGGGCAAGATGAACGCAGACATCGATATGGAGGAATGGCTGGGGAAAGCCAGGGCAGTGGCCACCGTCTAGAACGCAGGGCTACTGCTGATCCTGACCAGTACAGCTTGGGGTAAGCATTACTCTTTTAATTAGTTGGAATGTTGCCTGAATAACTAGTCAATTAATCAGTCTAAAGGAACCTAATTAGGCTGATTTTGCACTAGTCTGACCCTATTCAGACGTTTCTCAGGCACTATTTACATAAGACATGTTCTTGTGTTTAAAAGCAGATAGTCGGAGCACATTAGAATGAATTCAGGGTTCTTGAGAAGTATGAAACTATTTATTTTGAATGATGCATAGTGTTAAAAGTACACCACTTGTAGTGGGGTAGTCAAAAATAAAGCGTGTTTTATTATGCAAACTGGAAATAAAAGAACAAGTCAGAGCAATTCTATATTAAGTTGTCAAACTCACTAATGGACAAGTCTTTTATTGGACAACTGGTTGACCATCATGGCCTAGTCCTGGCAATGTAGGGTTTCAATTAAATCCTTCTGGATCCTTCTACCCTTTCTTTGTTCAGGTCTTACTCATCAATGCAGGACTGCCGGGGTCTGTATGCGGGTGCCACTGTGCTGTCTTCCCCCAGCTCAGAGGAGCTTACCCAGGACCAGGGCGACCGGGTGTCTCTCGATGCTGCTGATTCTGGTCGTGGCAGCTGGACTTCATGTTCCAGCGGCTCCCATGACAACATTCAGACCATGCAGCAGGGTCGTAGCTGGGAAGCACTTGCAGAGGGTGCGGGGCTTTGGGGAAGCAGAGGAAGCTGGGCATCTGCCTGCTCCTCTTCATCCTCTGCAGCATGTTGGGGCGAGGACTCTGAGGGTGACACGGGCACCATCAAGCGAAGAGGAGGGAGGGATGTGACCACAGACCCAGAGACCAGCAGCATCACCTCCACTGGTTCAGAAGAGTCCAGACAGCACAGTCGACGCCCCTCACCCATCACTGCAGGCAACACCAAAGCTGTGATCAGTAAGAGTCGCCACATGAACCAGGTTTAAAGGGATAGTTCACCCAAAAATGACAATTCTGTTGATATTTACTATTTACCTTCATGTTGATCCAAAGCCTTATGCTCTTATTTTAATATAACACAAAAATGAGAAGCATCACACTTTTTTTCCAGTAACATTTAATAGTAAACATAGTTACTTATCATAAAATTAGTCCAAATAGCCTGTGGGCTAAGCTTTATGAAGCCATGAAATAACTTTCTTTGAGGAACATTTCAAAAAGCCGTTATTCACAGAAAATTTTGCCCAAATTACGTATATGATGCCTTTGGCTATTCATGCGAGTTTGTACTGCACACTTTGATGTCAAACTTGATGCCTGGTGTTTTATTTTACTTGAAAGATGTGGTGGGGGAAAGATTTTCATTTTTGGGTAACTATTTAAAGAGTAACTACAGCAAGTTATGTGTCCTAACCTATTTGTTGAGTGTTTAAATTTTTCAAGTGCTGAAGTCATGATTTTTGCATGGAAAAACACATTCCCAATGATTAAACTAACATCTGAAAATGAAACCCTGCTCCAGGTTGATATTTAATAAATGAGTTTCACAATTTGAGTTGAATTACTGAAATAAATGAACTTTTCCACGACATTCTAATTTATTGAGATGCACCTGTACATGAACCTTAAGGATATAGACAACCTCACTTAAATTACTTAATTGTCATGTTGAACACTACAAGGTGGAACAGGACAACAAACTACCTACAAAAGTGGTCCTTCCTGATCTAGTGCATGTCTGCATGTGTCCGTCCACGTGTGTGAGAAGCATTACGGATATTAAACGGAACTGTGGTGTCCGTCTCCTCCCTCAGCACGGAAGGACGGCCGTTACCGGGACCCTCCACCAACTCCGCCGGGCTACACCGCACTGACCATCATCGACGTAACCGAGGGCACAGCTTACTCAGGCAGGAGACCCCCGGACTACACCACCGCCTTGCAGCGCTCCCGTCTTGTCACACATTCCCCTGACTCCCAGCAGCCCCCAGCTGCAGGAAAACCCACCCAATCGCCGGACCCCCGGGGCCGAGAAGAGGAGGAGGCAGAGGAGGTGGAAGAGGAGGGTGAGTGCTTGTCTCCCAAACTCAGAGCTCAAAGGAGGAGAGGTCCACACACAGCAGTTCCCCCCAGGCCATGAGTTACATACACCACCCCAACAGGAAGGTAAAACATCCCAAACTCCAGTTACTTCCACACTCACGCACTTCACTCACACTCACATACACCAGTCACGGTCTCTGCATGCCAGGAGGACAGCTCCTTCACCTGTCCACCATCACCAACCAAGCATCTCACACAGTGCATGTGTCACCACGGAGACAGCCTGCCCCCCGTCGCCAGTCATTGCTCCCTGCTCTGCCGTGTGTATTGGCTCTCACCCATCAGTGCTCACAGGAAAATCACTAGATCTGCCATAATAAATGCTTGAACACATGATAGAGCCTGAAGTCATGTTTGTGTTGTCAGGCAGCACATGAAATAGCATTAGTACTTATCAGCACAAAGATCCTGAATTGGGGAATTGTCATTTTATTAATTTTCACAGTAGGAGTCTTACCTGTCTTGTCATGTTTGTCTTTGGTACGGTAAGGCCAGAGCATATTTTATTTCCTTATTATATTTAGTGGTATGGCTATGACTTTGTTCCAAATCCCAGTGCATTTCCTACCCTAGACAGCATTTTTAGGCATCCAAAATTGCACAACTATGCTGCCTTACATTTTTGCTAAAATCAAAGTCAGTTATAAATGTAATGTTTGTAGGGAAGGTAATCCCAGGATCCTCTAAGACACATTCTGTGAAAACTTTCTTCCAAGACGGCATAGTTCAGCGAATCATTGATTATACATATTAATATTTATAAATGTATTAAATTTAGATATTTATAAAATAATATATATATATGATATATATACACATCTCTAAAAACGTTGAAGCAAATTTTCAAATAGACGTTATCTTTATCAAATCGCATTTTTGAAGTATAAACAACTACATTCTCACCTGAAAAACTCTTAAAGGGGTCCTATTATGCTTTTTCACTTTTGTCAGGAAACAGTGGTTGCAATTTATTTTTTTAACTCTGTCCCTGTGCATTATAACCCCAATTTGCTATTGTGTGCTGCGCATTTTACTGAGGACAGCTTCCACAACATGAGGGAGTACAGTGTCTGCCGGATTCGCCAAAAAGCTTTTGTTGAAAGACGGAGCAAGGGGGGTGGCAGTACTGAAACACCGTCTAAGCTGTTTGCCAATCACAACGCACTGGGACAGCTAACCAATCACAACACATTTTGTTTTTCGGAAGGCGGACCTTCATCAAAGCCGGAACTAATCGAGCCATTTGTGCCAGGATGGGGAGAAAGGTATTTTAATCATGTAAATTATGGGAAAAATAATGCGTTTTTCGAACCACCAAGCATAAGAGCATATTCTAGTACACCCCCAAAACAAAATCAAGACTTTGTAAAAGAGCATAATAGGACCCCTTTAAAACTATTTATTATTTATAAAATTGTAGTGGATTTGGGTGTTCGCCATGACACTCGATGTGAGAAATACTGCAAGCGGAGTAAAACAAATGTTAAAAAAGTTGGAGTTCTGTTATCACTAGAATATCGCACCTCTGGAAAAGGCTCTCAGCCAATCAGATTCGAGAACCAGAAAGAACTGTTGTATGTATGTATAAATCTCTCTCTCTCTCTCTCTATATATATATATATAGTTTTGCTAAACTACGCCATATAAAATAACATTTTATATAGTTACGTTATTTATTTTATTCACTACTGAAAACTATTTCCATCTTATTCAAAATTTACTTTTTAACAGTTACGGTTAGTGGAGTCACTTGTGAATGACGTAAACATTGCCGCCTGTGAAGCATTTCAGATCAGCCACTATTTCAGTTAAGATGCTGTTTTCACACTATGTTTGTTAGCATAATTTGAGCCCCATTTCCAGTCTACCTGCCATGTTGGTAATTAATTTTTTTAGCATTGCATTATTTGGTTCCAATCAGTGGTGTGCTTGCACCATCAATATGAGTATTCCTGTGATTACAATACTAGTGGCAACTGTTTGCTAGGTAGCAGTTCAGTAGAAGACAATACACGTTTTATTCCAGTTTTGGTCTTTTTGCTATTACTACCAAAATTTAATATGCACAGAACTGCACTTTCATCTGTTTACTAGGGATGTAACTATTAACGTTAACCGCGAGCCGGTTGAAAATCGATTCAAATATGTTACGATTCAAATCGGTTGAGATTTTGTTTGGATCATGATTAAAATGCAGTGATTGCCTCTAATTTTAAATGGAAAGAGCACAGACAAAGCCTTGTTTTGTTTATATGAAGAGATTTCTTTTATTTGTGTTACTTTTATTTAGTTTTGTTATTTACATTTACATCATATTTACATTTTGTTATTTTGTTAACTTACAAATGAGGACAATAGAAGCAATCAAAACCAACAAAAGAGCAATAATATGCAAGTGCTATATTAGTATATTATAGTGTTATATTTCAATTTCACAAAGAAACGTGCAGCATTTTTTTCAAGCAATAATAAAAGGACACATTTTGTTTATAATTTGTCTTAAATCTCATTTTGTAAAAAAATTAAAATAAAAAAAAAGTGAATCGAATCGTGAAATCAAAATCGTGAATCGAAACGAATCGTGAGTTGAGTGAATCGTTACATCCCTACTGTTTACTGCAAATGCAGTGTAAGAGATGTAGAGTTTGTGACGCCAAAGGCAGTTTCTGCTGAGACAATCAATAATTAGAAATGCACATTATATGTCATCAATAACAGTTCACTTTCACATGTCACTCTGGTTTGGAACAGAGCCTGTGTTTAGGTGATTGTGTCCATGATGTTCACAGTGATTCTCTCTTCTTCCTCCAGAGGGTGAACAGGTGTCCGCTGTTTGAAAGGGGGCGACACTGGCTGCACTGCTGCATTGACTGATGGCCCATATCGGGCATTCACAGGTCAGACAGACAGACAGACAGACCATCCAATCTACATCTTGCCGGCACTGCCTCTCTCCCTCCTCGATGGATTCATCTCCCTGCCCTGCCTTAATGCATCATGGGGGGTTTAATGCCCTGCATGCTTAAAAAATACTGTGAAGAAAGTAATTTAAAAAAATCATTTATTTGGCACTTTGGAGAATGGAAAAATAAACTGAACTGAAACTCAGACATGGCGCTTTGACATTCACACACAAAAAACAAACTACTGTTAACGGTTATCTTGAGACAATTCCCTCTTTCCTTCTGCTTAAAGGTCACATGAACGTGTTTAGTAGTTCCCCTCAGCACTTTTTAACTGTTTTTAAGGTGTAAACTGATGCACACAATCAACATTTCAGTCACTCGATTCTGGACATGCAGTTTGGATGGCGAAGAAGGCTTGAGTACAATTAACCACCCTTCTTTTTCACATCATTCCTGACGACAACACTCATATCTGTGTGGTTCAATATAACAGTATTATATTTGCAGAAGCACGACCTGAAGGACATCTCTTCTACTGGATGACTATGAATGGAGTTCACATTGATTCCTGACTTACGTAGCACACCAATTTAATATGGAAGGTGTTTTGTGAGAGGAAACAATGCTAAGTGAAGCCTTAGTGAGTGATTTTATTGGTTTTGGGCTTTTTAGTGGGTTTGAGAGCTATAAGAAAGTATGACTGAAACATCAGGTTTGGTCAAAGGCCTATAACAAACATAATTCAAAAACAAAAGCCTGAATAAATATGCATCTGTTGGTAATCGAGGAGCCAAAGTGATTATATTTGTGAATCAGTTCAGCTACAAGAAGCTGAACTCACTAATCTTCTATGTGAGCAGGCGGGTTTTATCAGTTCAGCGCCACTCCAGCTTCAAAAGCTAATTGAAGCGTTTGCTAATCGCTGTGGTACAACATCAATCGCCCCTGTTGGTTAAGGTGAGAACTGCAGGCTACTCAGGCAAATGAGGCCGTCTTATTCGGGTGCTACTTCCTTCCTCTCATTAAGTGAAATCATTAAGAAGTTGTGTGAAAAATGGTGGCTTTTGTGTTAAGTTTTTCTTTACGAGGGCTCAAGTCATGCATATTTCTCCTGGAGTGGGCCTTGATCTAACTACCACTGCTGCACAACAGCTTCCACGATCACTCACAGGAACTCAACTGAAACGTGCTTTTGAGACTCCAGTGGGCCGGGAACACGCAAACCCACCCAAAGTCCGGCAGTCAGAGCAGAACTGAACCGGTGGGAGCATGTCACTTTTATTCTTTCATTTTAATCACTGAGTTAAGCTGATCACATTGATCAGTAGTTAGAAACAATAGACTAAAGAAGAAAAAAGAAGTTTGCAGTGTTTTCCATTGTACTCTGTAATATCACTACTTCAATGTTGTTGTTTTTTTCTCTAGTTGCTTGTATGTTTGTTTGTTTGTAGGTTTTTGTTTGTTTTTGGCTCCCACACGTTTTGTAATGGTTGCGGATACAGTTGTTAATAACAACACATTTGTAACAGTAACTATATCGACCATCTGCTTCCACCCATTTTTTATTTTTTAGTCAATATTCACGTTTTGGCAAGCCAAGATGAGTCGCTTGTTGTGCAAAATAAGTTGCACAAATTGTACAAGCATAAATACAACAAGGTAAATAGTAGTAGGTAGCTGTTCTGCTACTCTGTTCGATATGTGATGTCAAGTGAGACGTGTACATTTAGCTGGTGAAGATTCTCTCTTTTTTGACTACTTTTACCTGTACGTCTTTTACAAAGACAATTGGTGGAGTATGTATTTGTTCTTATTTTTTGTCTTTCTTTTTGTTTTGTATTTTTATTACAATAATTGTAAATATTGGTTATATTTTTGTTGAATTGTAAAAATGTATGATGTTTATGCCTCAACATCCAGTTTATATGAAGCTGGGAATCAATAAATTCGACAAAAATGAATCAACTTATAGTTTTTAAATGCAATTGTTATTATTATTATTATTATTATTATTATTGCTCTTTTGTTTTGTTGATTCTGCATTAAGGTTTTTGTTTTCAAACATTGTTTTAAATGACCTCTGGCACCATCTAGTGTTTGCACAAGATAAGACATGGAAGTAACTTGAAATGTGTATCTCATACTTTTCTAACTGACAAATGTATGTTGGGGTTAATAAAAGACATCCGTATCTATGTACTGTTCAACACTGTTTGCTTTTTCATTGTTTCTTCAGAGGCTTTGATGAGCCAAAGAGGATAAACTGGGTCATGTACACAGTGATTCCACATTACTGAGCATGATGCACTACGAAACCTAATCACAGTATCACATTTTAGATACTAAGGCGAAAATCAGACCTTCCTCCCAAGATGACCAACCCATTCTTTGGTTAGTCCAGGTAAGGTCAGATTTTCACAGCTGGTGTGGGGTGAGTTATGGGGAAAGAGCAAGCAATAATGCCATAGGAAGCATACTAAATATGCAGTTATAAATCTTGAAATGTATAAGTGTACATTTTATTGTATAGTTAAGATTTAAGTTTTTCTCAATCACTATTTTGTATCAGTATGCATGTTGTCCAGTTATTCTGCCATGGAATAAAAAAAAAACATTTCACAATTCTGACTTGTTCTTACAGTTGGAAGTTTGTCTCGCAATTCTGACGTAGTCTGTATCTCACAATTCTGAAGAAAAAAAATGTCTCAATTGTGAGAAAAAAAGTCTGAATTGTGGGATAAAAGCTCAGAATTGCAAGACAGAAAGTCGCAATTACCTTTTAATTTTTTATCCCATGGTGGAAACAAGCTTCCATGAGTTTCAGAGTTTTTAATTTTACTGGTATATAACATTTATGGTAGTTTCTGTGTTCTGTTGAACATAGAAGATATTTTGAAAAATATGGGCAACCAAACAGTTGATGGGACCCCAATAACTTCCATATGGAAAAAATACTATGGAAGTGAATGGGGACCATCAGTTGTTTGGTTATACACTGTTTGGAACAACCTGAGTAAACGATGACAGAATTTTTATTTTAGGTGAACTATCCCTCTTAACTTCGAAATAACTGCATTTGTTTCCAAAATGTTTTAGTCAGAATGAATATTCAATGTGTATGTTTTGAGGAAACTAGTTATTTAGATAAACTATATGTCTCACATTAAATACTGGATCTCTTCCATCTTTCCATTACTTTCTTTTCGTCTCTGATTTGCTATTGCATGTACAAATTGCACCTTAATGGATGTGAAGCAAAGTGCATAATTTTGTTTCATGCCACAACTGATGTGTATTTCCTAAATGAACATCCTGAAGGTTTTAGGTATGATTAAGTTCCATTGTCATTTAAATTCTGCATTAGGTTTCCTTTGCCTTTGCCATGACATTCAGCTGTGCACAAGAATTAATCCAAGATGTGACGCTGTCTTTGTCGTGTTGAAGATTAATCACCTTTTCCTGAAGCTCCACCTCTTTTTCATTATATTCTTTATAATATTATAAAGGGTACAATTACAGAATATAATAATACATTATATATTATGTCTATTCTAATATTATACCCCTGGTAGGGGCTCCAGTGGAGTCTGTTATCATGTCCTGTCAGAGTGTTTTACATTCACATTGCTTGACATTCAATTTAACGGAAGTGAAAATTTGAGGAATTAATGTATAGTTTTGATGAGCTCAAGGGCACCTGCAACACAGCCCCTCAGGCCCATGTGAATATGTGCTCCATATACACATATGTTCTTCACCCCTCTCCTGATTTCCATGGAGGCCAATGAATAATTACAGTCGAAACCCCTTTCCATTCCTGCTATAGGTGTGAATAATGCCTGTAAACATAGTGACAGTGACTAAATTAAATGTCAAAGATGACAACATCCATAACACTAGAGTCATTACAATTGACACAATTGTAGCATCTGGACCAATCAAAAACACAATTTTAGAATTGTACAGTAAGAAAGTTATTTCCCTTAACCAGGAAATTAACGTTCTTAGAATTGACAGACAGTTGAGCCTGAGAGGTCAAGTAAATATCTACAGCGGATCTAAATATTTATAATTAATTATAACTAGTTATGATAAATTATTCATATTTCCCCATGAGCCGATTCGCTACACAATGTTATGAAATAACCAAGTCAAGTAACTTTTTCTATTGATTTTTAGCTAACTTATTTAGCTACAATGTAACGTGTGGTGCCGAAATCCCATTATATTATAACTCTCCTGCTTGTCCCTTCTGTGTTTATGGGTAAGATTAGTCAGTGACTGACTACACAGAGGGGGAGATTTTTCAGCTGTTCGAAACTTTAAATCTCACTCTGTTTCACAAAGGTATGGCTTGAGAAAATGGATAATTTGGAATCCTTTTATAGTGTGTGTGTGTGTGTGTGTGTGTGAGAGAGAGAGAGAGAGAGAGAGAGAGATACTTTGTTGTGTACTTTGCTTCTGCGTTTATAGTTTTATAGTCAGACTTAAGTTAGGAGTGTGGGGCCATCTGATTACAATATAATAATAGCCAAAAAAAAAAAAAAAGTCCTAAACAAAATGCATACATTTATAATGCATAATTCTTTGAGACTTGAAACCTACCCTGCTCAACATTTTGACTTTCTACTGCAGTATGTTTGCTCATGTTTGTTTCTTTGTGTGTGATTCTATCTTTCTCACACACACAGACACTAAAGAGCATCTTTAATTTCAATGGCAGCAAGATAATCTGATCATCTAAACAAATGAGTTTGCATGAATAATGTAAACAATAATAATAATAATATAAAAACTTATTTGATTATTGACTAGAAATAGTGCAAAATCTTAAATGTCTTTCTTTTCAAACAATTTGTCTATTTTCACATGTAACAGTGTAATGTAAATGAAAGTTATGTAATTTCATTAAAGGTCATTTACAATATATAAATACATAAATAAATAAACTAACTAACTAACTAACATCCATTTAACAGCATATTGGGCAGGATGGTGTGTCTTTGAATGTAGATACTTCAAGTTTTTCAACAACCCTCAAATCTGGGTTGAAGCCGAGGTATGATGCATAATGTGACCAAAAAAAAAGGTAAATACAACTTAAGCTTTGTCTAAATGTCTCCACCTCTACAGAAAATCTGTTTGGACTTTTGATGGGAACTGTTTGTTGTGTCACAAATATGTTCAGTTAGTTTCTGTTATCAATGACTTTTAGTTTGTTTTCGTAGTTTAATGGTTTCCTTTGTTCTTTTCCCACTCCTCTTTGGTTGTTATGGTTTCTGATATGATTAGTTAATGCATGTACATATTAGATCATTCAAATTCTGACTTCTGATTAGTTAATACAGCATCCCAGGAGTGTTAAAACAATGATAAAATAACAGCTATGACCTGAAAAACATGCAATATAATGGTTTGTCTTACCTGAAGCACTCAAAGCTCAGAGAAGGTAGACAGGCCAGACTGGCATTTTTTTTCAAAGAATGCTGGAACAATGCATAGAATTGAAAAACGTGTGATATATTAAAATACATTTTAATATAAAATTAACCAGCACCTGCTCATGTTCTCTTTGGTGTGTGTGTGTGTGTGTGTGTGTGTGTGTGTGTGTGTTTTAAATAATATTATTCATCTATTCACTATACATAGTGTAATTTTGTAATTGCACGAGTGTGCATGTTTTTATGTACATGGTACACTAATTTCTCACACTTTCTTGTCACTTCACAGTATGCTCTTGGATCACTCTGGATAACATGATCATCAGGTTTTACACAAACTTGTGGAGTCCATTCAGCTTGAGAGCAGTTGTCATTAAAATAAATGTTGGACAAACCAAGTATGAATTCTGAGATTCATGTTAATTTTTAAAATTGGCCTTTTCAGTCAGTGTTATGCTGATAAATAATTTGCAATAAAAATGTTTTATTAAATTAGAAAATAATGTAAATAAATAAATAACAACACCAGTGGTTTCAGGCTTTTTGTCATTTCTGTGACACTATGAATCTACTGTATCAGCATTTTCACAAAAGTGGCATGCATGGCCAAACCATAGAAAAAAAACTATGTAAACAGCATATGGGGGAAAAAAAGAAAGAAAAAAACACATGGGCAGTTGCTGGAATCAACATTACCTACATTACCTTTAATATCAAAGTCACCTTAAATGAATGAAGGATTGATGCATCAGCAAATATGCCTGAAGTCTGAAAAATCCTGAAACATTGATAATAAATCAGCATATTAGAATAATTACTAAAGGATCATGTGACCCTGAAAACTGGAGTAATGGCTAATGTATATATATATATATATATATAAAGACTGTGTGTAGAGGTGAGGTTCACATGGGAAGAGACGAGTACCGTATGTTGAAAGCAAATTATTATTAAACTCTCCACCAAAAAAAAGATGAACTAGGATTTCATAGTAGAGGTAGTTTGGATTATTATGAAAGCCAAAACATTTTGAAGGCTTCATGGCCTATGTGACAGTGACTGTGTGTAAAGGTGAGGTTCACACGGGAAAGGGATGAGTACTGTATGTTGCAAGCAAATGATTATTAAACCCTGTCAGTTCACATTAAATCTATATGTCTCTAGGATTATTATTTTTATTATATCATTATTATTTATTTTTTCAAATAGACCACCTCGCAAAATTCCACCATTAGAACAAACTCAAGAGGACTGATAATTAATTGTGGAAAGCAGGAGGGGTGAAACTTATTAAAAAAAAAAAAAATAGGGCTACATGACTCTGACTTGGCAACTCTAAGACATTGTTTTTAAGTAATAAATCTATGACTTTATGTTTGTGGGTCATTTTCTAGCTGGAAAATTAGAATTTGGCTGTATTTTGCCTCATTCATTTTACCCTTGCAAGCCTTCCTGCTTCTGCAAAGCATTCCTGAAGGATCCTGCTTTACTTCATGGTGGAGATGGTGTATTTACGGTGATACATGATTGGATTCCACATACCTTCTGGCAAACATTAACAGTGACTTTCACTCTGTCATTCTCCCATTCAACTGCAACTGGTCTGTTACACATTCACTGTTTTTGAGGATGCCATATTCCCCTTGTCATTTTTCACAGCTTATAGTTTTTTTTTTTGTTGGTGTACTTTCTTCCACAATACTACCTCACCAGAGCTGGAGCTTACAGAGAGAGGTGTATTAATACTACAATCACCTTAAACTATTCAATTACACACACATTATCTACATTTAACTCTTCTAAAACCACAGAAACAAAGTTACATTAAAGCCATCTCTGATATTAGGTTGGTCAGAATCACCACATTTCCGGTATATTTTAAAAATTGCGTCTTAGGCAAAACTCATTTGGAATTGTTATTGAATTCTAAACTTTCTAAACCTATTTCTCCTAAACATTTATGCTTGTGTACTGATGCATATAAAAACATGAAATGCTCTCAGATGCCAAATCAGTGCATAGTGTTCTGCAGTTTACCAGTAACTCTATATTGTTTTGCAGTATTATTATTTATTTATTAATTAATGCATTTATTTATTTATTATTTTTAACAAATTGGTTGAACTGTTGTTCAATGATATTTTATGAAAATTAACTGTTCATAATCATATTTTGAGTTTTATTTCAAAACTTTCTAAATTGTCATGCAACATTATGCAAGTTAAGATTGCAAGCTTGGGTGTAGGTTGTGTTTTGTGACCTTGATGATCCACTGATAAATGATTCAGCTTATAAGGATTTTGTAATACGGTTGATTGTAATACATTAATTCCTCTGCCATATAAAAACTCAAACATCTGCACTGATAAACAGACAAATACAGCACACTCTCTGTTAGTATTACCAAAATAATACATCAATTAAAACATTTACAATAGCATCAACATAGTATTTAGACATATATTTAGATATGTTTAATGTGTTTCATTGTTGTTTCAGATGTGCAGTATTCAATGTGAGAAACAATGGGAGTCTGGACTGTCTGCATGTCTCTCTGTTTGCTCTTTGCTCTGAATGCTTCAGGTGAGATACATTATGACAATACTGCAGGATTTACTGAACATCTCTAAATACCACCACTGAATTTTCACTGACCTTCAAGTGATTTATTATCTGATCTTTAACATAAGAACCACTGGTATAACATGCTATTCAGTTTAGTTTTTCTCAGAGCTTAATAACTGCTACTTTCTGAATAATTTCCATTGGCAGAGAAACAGTGCTGTTTTACTCAATATCATTAACACGGCTGTGAGTAACTGAGGCTGCTAACATTCAGTACAAAAACACTCTTGCACAAGTTATATTGCTTAATTACTCTTTGTGCTTCAGTCTTGTATAAATAGAAATGGGTGACAAAGTGATAAAGAGATGGTCTATGTTCATTTTGTCTTTAAAAATGATAATAGATATATGATGCAATTAATTAAAGATAATTTAAACTTACAATAAAACAAACCAAATCTTAATATAACAGCTTGTGAGAGTGGGTGGATTCGATATGGACGTAGATGCTTCAGGGTTTTTAACCATCCAGTGACCTGGAGGGATGCAGAGGTATGAAATATTCACCAGCATCTGACATTATAAATAAATTACCTTATTTGTATATATATTTTTTTATTATTATTTGAAGATTTAAAAAAAAAAATTCTATCTATCTATCTATCTATCTATCTATCTATCTATCTATCTATCTATCTATCTATCTATCTATCTATCTATCTGTTTCTCCTCATGTCATTTTCTCCTCAGGTGAGTTGCTTGAACCATGGTGGGAACCTTGCCTCTGTACACAATCTCAAGGAGTACACCTTCTTAAAGCTCATGATCTCAAGTTCAAGATCATACTGGATAGGAGGCTATGATGCTGTTTCGGTATGTTATTATGTTGTTAATTGATTTACTTTTTTTGTGCTGTTGTCCAAGATAAGTATGTAACACTTTACTGTCTAACATTAAATTAACGCTGCTTAAAGTAAAAATAGTGAATGTTAAAATTTACACAGGTGTGCAAGTAGCATTTCCTAGATCCTCAGACTCTTTATTTTACACATGCACATAATGCCAGACGGTCCTAAACACAGTGATCTTAGCTCTCTTCTGTTCACAGGAGGGAACGTGGTTCTGGAGTGATGGGTCCAAAATGAATTTCAAACTTTGGAACCCTGGAGAGCCCAACAACCAAAAGCATGTTGAGCACTGCATTGAGATGAACTATGGAGGTAAATAATTAGAAAGATGTGAATGTCATTTCATGTTTTCAGTTCTGGACAGTTAATAAAGAAACTGTATTCACTCCCCTCACTTCCAGTGTTTATGTCACAGACTAGACATTCCTTATTTATCTTTATAAATATAAGCATTATGATGTTAATACCTGTATAATTACTTGTATAATTAAAACATATTTTTCTTTCTCACAACAGCTACAGGATTTTGGAATGACCAAGAATGCACAGACAAAGTACCATTTGTGTGTGCCATTTCTGGCTGATCTCTTCCCCTACATGCCATGTTAAATCAGAAGTGTCATGCCCATTTAATCTTATTTTTGAATGTTTCGAACATTTTTAATACAGTGCAAATTTATTAAAATCACTGATTCTAAGTTCAGTTGCAATTTTGCTTTGTTGCATGATACCTCTGTGTTAAACATCTTTCTTTCTGTAACTCAATAAATCAAACAGCATTCAGTTATTGTCCTGAAAATCTGTTGCACCACAAATGCGGACACAAACAGTCATCAAAATACAACTCTAAAGAGAGCATGCTCATTCAGAGCATAAAGAGTTTTTATGGGTTCTAATTCATGTAGCTTATGTTTTGGTCAACCATGATTATCACAGGTTTTGTTCTTCAGCTTCTCCTGACTCACAAGTACTGCAGAGACACAAAGAGAGAGTGATGGAGCTGAGCATGTTCTCATAATGAACCGTGTTATGTTCAGCTACGTGAATCCTCATTTTCCTGTGTTTTCTGCTTTCTGATAAAAACATGTTTGCCAAGTGTTAATAACATTATTCATCGTCAAAATTAAAAGGACAGCTCACCCCAAAATTAAAATTAGAATTGAAACTACTGTGACACTATAAACCTGTTGTATCAACATTTTCACAAAGTGGCATGGCCAAACCATTTAAAAAAGCATTGTGTAGACAGCATGTGAGAACGAGAACAAGGGCAGTTGCTGGAATGAACATTACCTTGAATATATCAGAGTCACCTTGAGTGAATGGAGAGTTGATGCTGAAGTCAGCAAACATGTCCATTAATAATTAATATATAGTATTGCTATAGTATTAGTATCGCTTTTGACTCAACCTCTTTTTTACACCTTTCTTTAATTCTGTTTCTATGTGTTTCCATATCCGTACTATTACTACCACTCACAAACCAAGCATCACACTCTATAGGCAGCGCAATCCTAACAGCCTGTGCACTTTGCCTATGTCTGCTAATACACTACTTTCTTTTTCTATTGGTCTCTGGAATTGTCAATCTGCAGTAAACAAAGCAGATTTCATTACATCTATTACTAGTCATTCAAGACTAAACCTCATGGCCCTGACAGAGACGTGGATCACACCAGAGGACACTGCTACTCCTGCAGCACTCTCCAATAATTTCTCATTTTCCCTCACTCCCTGTCTAACTGGAAGAGGTGGAGGTACTGGTCTGCTTATCTCTAATGATTAGAAAATTGTTTCATTTACCTTCTCTGGGTATTAGCAGCTCCTTTGAATCACCTTCAGTCACTATTACCCACTCTTTTAAAATCCATTTTGTAGTTGTTTATCGATGGTACTGGGACTAGGATGGTACTGCCCTAGTTTTTTATTTATTTAGTCATTTTGCAGACACTTTTATCCAAAGCGACTTACAAATGAGGACAACAGAAGCAATCAATTGTAGTATTAAAACAACTAAAAACAGATCCAAAGCTAAAACTTTATAAATACTACTTATACACATTTTAAAAATAAAAAAGTTAAATAAAAATGACAACTGCATACAACACAATTTCAAAACTTAACATTTAAATGCTGACTCTCCATTTACTCTTATCTGATTGGTTCAATAAACACATGCCAAATCGTATGCCAAAACATTAATCTTCATTTAGTTCTGGATCGTTCTCGCTGCCAGAATGGTACTTTTAACGTACACATACATTATAAATAAATGCATAGAACCAGTCTGTATGTGTACAAAACTAACTGTTGCAAATGTCTAAATGACTTGTGCATGTGGGGCAAAAAGTTCCCAAAATAAACCGATATGTACAGCTCCGTCTTTCTTTTCTCTGCGCTTACAATTTTGGCACGATTCTCTCACTAACTGAGTTTTGCAAAAGTGTGAGGGGGAGGGCGGGGCCACCTTCTTCTTGTAGCCAATCAAATGATACTCTCGCTGACTCTCCATTTACTGTTATCTGATTGGTTCGATAAACACATCATATGCCAAAACATTAATCTTCATTTAGTTCCGGATCGTACTCGCTGCCAGAATAGTACTTTTAACGTACACATACATTAAAAATAAAAATAAATAAATAACAACTTGATTAAAACATGATACTTTATAAGTTGTGTACCATTAGGCTATGTGTTCATACAGAATTTGGAGCTGTTTAGTATCCTTTTCTTCCTCAACAGGCTATATATGATATAGTTTATTGTAATATACTAATCATAACACCCGATATACTTGCTACATCGTTAGAAGAATGGCATCTACGCTAATATTAGTCTGTTTCTCTCTTATTCCGAGGTCACCGTAGCCACCAGATCCAGTCTGTATCCAGATCAGATGGTCACTGCAGTCACCCGGATTCAGTACGTATCCAGCCCAGACGGTGGATCAGCACCTAGAAAGGACCTGTACAGCGGAGACCAGGACAACTAGATGAGCCCCAGATACAGATCCCCTGAAAAATGAGTGTTTACTATTGTCATTTTGCATTATTGACACACTATTTTCCTAATTAATGCTGTTCAGTTGCGTTGACACAATCTGTATTGTTAAAAGCGCTATATAAATAAAGGTGACTTGACTTAATATTGTAATTTTGATGATACTTAAAGATGGCCTAGTGTCTGCACTAGTTTAATACATGTATTTTCACCTGTCTACTGATCAGGGACGATTCCATTTTTTGTGGCAGGGAACGCTGGATTCCCACATAATTAGTTACTTTAATTTGGATATATATTTAGACATCATTAAAGACATTTTTATCAAAGTTATATTATTTCATTTTGATTTGAAGTGTAAGTTTTTGCGTTAGTTTGTATGCAGATTATATGAAATTTCAATGTAAAGCCAAACCAATCCAATAATGCTAACACCAACTCACAATTCAGTATGAACACATGGGAGTGATGGAGAGTCAGCGAGAGCCTCATGTGATTGGCTACAAGAAGGTGGTGGACCCGCCCTCCCCTTCACGCTTGCAAAACTCAGTTAGTGAGAGAACCGTGCAAAAATTGTAAGCACAGAGAAAAGAAAGACGGAGCTGTACATATCGGTTTATTTTGGGAACTTTTTGCCCCACATGCACAAGTCATTTAGACATTTGCAACAGTTAGTTTTGTACACATACAGACTGGTTCTATGCAGTCAATCCGTTTTGCAGTTCTTGAAACTGTTGTTTTCGCTTGCAAATCACTGTTCACAGGCTTGCAGTGCTTTTGACCGTCTTTTGGCGAAAAACACGTGCCAAAAGTGTAAGCGCGGAAAAATGGAAGTCAGAAGCATGCAGATCATATTTATTTTGCGTTAGCATGAAGCTGCAGTTTCACAATAC